TGTTGTTGTTGTTGTTGTTGTTGCTGTTGTTGTTGTTGTTTTGATCTGAAGAGGTGGCCGCCTTTGCATTTGTTCGGACTCTGATACATCAGTTATATTTCTGTCTGTGCCTTGTGTTGTTTGTATTTGTAATATGGTATATATTTGTGTGCTCAGTTCTGCTTTTACCGGGGACAGCAGGGCTTTGTTGTGTGTTCGGTGTTTATATGTTGTATATGGGTGTTGGCTGAGCACCTGGGACAGTTGTGGACTCCTCAGCTGAAGTTTCTTTACAGATCACCAGTTTATTGTTTGATCAAATAGATATTTGTGTGTATGACTTTTTTTTTTGCTGTTTTTTTCTTTTCTTTTGAATGTTTATTTACGTTAATATTCGTCACCAAAAGAAGGTGGAAAAAAATTTGTCGTTGTCGTATTATAGCTTGCTGTTTTTTTTTCGCGTGATATTTTTATAGATCAGTATGAAATTTTTGACCATTTGTTTTTTGATTGAAGGAAATTGACAGCATGGCTGCAGAAGAGGATGAAACTGCTGGAAAGACTCCGGAAGAATGTCAAGACTTGGGACTATGGGAAGTAGATGTTGTCTATTATAGCCTTAATGGGAATAATAAAGTTGGTGATTCATTTTAAAACTATTCAACTTTTATTTTTCCACTTTTTTTTTCTTTTAATGTTAATTCAAAAGAAACTTAGGTTTATGAACAGTTTGGTTTTCCTAGTTTTTTTCAATGCAACCAAGTGAAAAGAGCATAAAAGTTTAACGAGTACTTAAAATAGTCAAATGGAAACGTTAATAATGTTCCTGACGAAGTGAAAAAGTGGAAGAAAAATGCTTTTTTTCTGTGTAAATTAATAGCTTTTTTTTTAACTCGTAATATCATTGATAAATGATTTTTTTTATACATCTCTCAGTCGCACTGTCTGTGGTGTTGTATTGTTGTTCTCGGCTCTTCATTTATTCATATAAACTTTTTTTCGTTCTCTCCACTTTTTTTCTTTTATCAATTGAAATTTTTTTTTCTTTTTACTGGTCAGGAAAATGAAATTTTGACCGTTTATATATGTTTCATTCCCTTAGTGCTTAAGAAATATTTTTTTCTCTTCTTAGCCTATTTATTTTCGCTTGAAAATTTATACGCATCACTTTTTGCAGTTTTGTCTTTGTTCACACTTTTGAGGATGTAACGATGGGGGAGGGGCATTAGGGTGGCCTTATACGCCTAAAATTAGTTTTCATTTTCATGATCATTTTCAATCAAATCGGATTCATGGTATGTAGGATATAAGCTTTTTGATCACAAAGTTCCTCTTGTTTAACGTATAAGTGGGGTAAAAGTTAGCGCGAGCCAAATTAGCTTTAGTCTTCTGTAAATGCATAAGTACGTTTCCAAATTACCCTCTGCGAGCTTTACTTTAGTTCTACCTACTGAGCGGAGTAGGCAGACAGCGGTGGCAGTGGTAATGTTTAGTGGTGATTGGTTAAGCAGATTACACATGCAAAAATTGGTTCTATATCTTGTGGTCCACTTGGAGAAATGGTGAATGAATTGAATGTGGAAGGTTATACTCCTATTGTTTCTGTTCTATTGTTTCATCGTGTTTTATATTTTTTATTGCTTCTTGTAAATTGGTCAAAGTGCCGCTAAAATTCTTATGTAAACATAAAAAAAGATTTTTATGTTGGTGGTAGGCAACCTTAAGTAATATTGTTTTTCTTTCATCAACTTCTTTTGTTTTGTTGCAGTTGTTTTTTGAACTTTGGTGAGTCTTTGCTTCTCTCAAGTCTATTCTGTTAAGGAAGAATGTTAAAGGCCGAAAAAAGCAATTTGCCACACGGCATACTGGTTGTGAATGAGGCTATTTGTTCATTTGGAAGAGTACTTTCTTTTTAAATTTATGCTCATCGCTTTTAATTTAGAGCGATCCTTCAAAAAGCAAGCGAGGTAAGGCTTACAAGGGTCGTAGTGACAGTGAATATAAATGCTTTGAGGCCCATGATGGTGTTCGTTATCGTCCCGGAGATCATGTTTTTATGGATGTTTCGCAGTGCGAACCTTATTTTATTGGCACTATATCCAGTTTTAAAATGGTGTGTTCTGTAGTTTTTTTGATCTTGTATCTTGGTTGAAATTTTTTCATTTGTTAGCTCGGCTGTAATCTCTCCATATCTTTATTGTTATTACATTTCCTTGTCATTAATTTGGTTGAATAATGAAGTCAGTTTATGCTGGCATTTCCTCGCTTGCTTTGCATGTTAATCAGGTTTAGTGTTTTTTTTTTTTTTTTTTTTTGCAGACAAAAAGGGATCAATTAATGGTTAAAGTAACTCGATTTTATCGTCCAGAAGATGTTCCTGAGGAAAGTTATTCTTTATTACTTCAAGATCGTAAAGAAGATACTTCGCTAAATCATGAAGTGCTTAATGCTTTGCAGTCTCGTGAAATTTTTTTATCAGATACACCATTCTCGTATTCTATTTGCAGTCTTCGGTTCGTTTTTTATTTTTTATTTTTTTCTTTTATTTTTTATTTCTTTAATTAAAACTTGCGTGCAGTGAGTATATGAACCTTCCACTACAACGTTGGGAATGAAAGTTGAAATTGAAATTTTGAGTTTTTTGGCAGGTTCTTAAAGTTTCTAAAGCCTACTGACAGCATAGTAATTCATTATAGTTTTAGTCATGTGCAGTTTATAAATATGTTGTTTTTAATGGCTCGGTTTTCTTCTTTCCTATTGAATATTCGGTGTTAAATAAATCCTTACTGGCCTGATTGCATTTTCCCAGTTTTTTTTTTTTGTTTTTCTTTTTTAAATCTCATTAATTCATGTGTAAAGGACCACAATTCAGTGTTTGTGGATTCACTTAATTTTTTATTTTTATAAAAAACGTTTTTCTGATGAAAAAAATGCGAAAATGCGAAAATTTTTTCAAAAATTTAGGGGTTATTATCTGTTTATTTATTTTAACTGGGTGAAGTGTCAATAATAGTAATAAACAAGTGATTTGTTGAAATTCATAATGAAAGAGAAAGAAATAAAGAAGTGTTTTTCTGCAGAAATTTTCTGATGTTTGGGGTTTCTATCCTTCTTTTTTAACGAAAAAACCTTTGTATTGACGTTTGTCAATAACTGTGTGAAACTACTCTGTAAGTTTGAATAGATAATTAAAATAGTTGCATGTTTATCCGCTTCAGTATTCTTTGTCTCAGTGTTTCATTAATCTCTCATAACATTGACTGAAAAAACAAAGAATTCATAAAGGGTTTTACTTTTGTAACCACTTTATTTATTAACTCATTGTTAGTAGAGCAACAGAATTTTCCTCCATAGTTTCACAGTTCAAACTTTTTTTGATTGATAATAAGTGTTTCTTTTACAAAAAAAAAAAAAAAGTGGAGTTTTTTAGTTATATTCATTAAGGAGAGATTAAGAAAGCATGAAGGCAGTTAGACAGTAACTGGACTTGTTAGTCGTGAATAAACAAGTGGAAAAGCAATTAACAGGTGTAATTTCAGTTTTGATCAAGGTGGGAGATCAACTGCTGGCAGGACAAATTGATAGCTAGTAAGTTAAGTAGAGAATGATTTTTCTAGTGCTGGTCTTTAGCATATTAAGGCGTTGTCGTTTTTGTTTTTTCTCAATGATGTGAAGTGCGAAAGGTGTCCAGGAAGAAGGGGAAATGAGCGAAATAGTACAAGCAAAGAGAAAGACGAAGAGGATTTGGAATCATTGTTGTTGTGTTTGAGAGTGGCCAGCTATTGATCGGGTTTCGGTTTATAACGCTGTTGCGATTAATGCCCACCCTAAATTTCTGAATTTTTTTCGACAGGCGTTCCTAGTAAAATGATCCTCTAACTTCTTCATATTCATCATGGTTATTACTCGTTGTTTCATCATCAACAGTTTTCCTTCTCTACATACAACTTTTACATTTTTATTTATCTTTTTCATTTGGACTTACCGTTTGTTGAAAGACTTAACACTCTCTGTTCATAGCTTTTCCTAACAACACACCGAAAATTACATGATAAATTGCTCTTTCCTCGTTATTTTTTTTCCAAAAACAATAATTTACATAGTGTGTTTCTGGGATACTTTATAGGTATATGGTGAAGTTCCCTTAAATCATTTCTGGTTGGTTTAACTGTAGCTAATGCCGGATATCGCTGTTATCTTTGCAGCATATGTTTTCTTCGTTTTTTTCCTTTCATTTTTTTTTACGACAATGCTTCCCATAAGATTTTGTTGTTAAATACCACTGAACTTGAGGAGTCTCGGTTTTTCCTTGCAGAATTTTTTTTTTTTGGTTGACATCTATTTTTATTAGTATTTTTCCACAGAATGTTGAAGTATTTAAATGTCGCTAACTATATAGTTGTTTGAAAGTGATCGCTGCTTTAAAGTTACAAAAGAGTCTGCTTTATTATTCTTTATGCGTCCTTTTTATTTTCTTGGTTTTTTTCTTTGGATAAAATAGAAGAACATTTTACTAAGTGTAATTTTGCTGCACTATTTTCATTTCCGTTTTTTTTCTCCTCTTTGTTTTGTAGGGCTAACGTTAAAAAAGTATACATTCCTAATGTGATATAGCTGTTGTTTAAGCTAGGAACAAATCTTTAATTGCTTTTATTTTTGTTTGTCTTTGAATCATATGCTCAGAAATTTTTCCGCTTTGTTGTACTGTTTTTATAGCGAAGAGTTTGACAACAGTAATTTTTGAAATTGGCTGTAGGTAGTTGTAATACGCTTAAAAGAATTGCAGAGTTTTAAAATTTAGTTACTAAAATTTTGGCTTTTCTCACTGAACGGTAAAACAGCGCTCAGATTTCTGCAATTTTTTCAGTGGAAAATGCGTGGTGCGATCGATAAAAGACGTTCGCTCTTTGACGCCTGTTGATGTATTAAACTCGCGAGACACTTTTTTTTCTTTGGTTTCCTTCGATCCAAATAACAGCAGGCTGGCTTCCGTGCAAGGCGAAATTCGGGTTGGGCCTTCTTATCAGGTAAATTACCTATTGAAAATTGTCTTGGGCTTTTTACTGTTCTAATAGTGTTTAACAAAAACCTACTGATTAAGCTGCTTTCTTCGTATAACTGTTTCCTCGGCTAAAAGGTATTCCAGAAATTATATTTCACCTTTTACTGTTACCGCTGAAACATTCGTTCTTATTGCACGTATTTTTTTCTGTTATAAAGTGAGACTTCCCATCATAATATGAAAATAGATGTTTTGGAGTTTAACGTACATTTTTTAGACAGTCACTATTGAGTTTGCAGGCCGTAGATTCACCATTAGAACGTTGTTCCGCTGCAGACGAATCTGACCGCGATGAATTGTTATATCGTCCTGGGTACATTGATGATGATGAAGAGAAAGTGTAAGCTATGCTATATCATGATTGGAGAGTAATACTTGAGGTTTTTTACTGTTGAACTGCGCTCCCTGTTTGTTCTTCAGGGCACAAATTATGATTGATGGGCGCGTGATCCTTCCATTATTTTTCTTTTGAAAGAAACTGTAGAGCATTTTTAGATTTGTGCAAACAGCACGTACTCTTCGTATGTTTGCCATGGCTCGGAATGAGAATATTACTGAGCTAGAGCGCGATTTCCGAACTGGAGATTTGTGTTTTCATGA